TCAGGGATTTAGGCCCAGGGATACTTGTGAAGTGGCAACTCTTATTTTTTGGTGGAAGCAGGTGCTGTGGAGCAGCTCCCATATCTGAGAAGTGTGACAGGCAGTTCAGCCTACATTATACTCAGACACATTTTTCTGACCTATGTATTCCTTTTCCTTTGGGAAGAGGTACCCTCTACTGAGCTTTTGTGAGGTATATCCTAGGGTTCTGAGCACAGTAATCAGGGAGCTAATGCACAGCGCCCCTTGTTTTGTACTGCTTCCTTAAGAGGCAAACCCAGCTGTCATGACTTTTAACAGGCTGTGCTCAGTTTTGTTTTGGGCAGAAGGAAGGAGAACCACTTTGGACTGGCATTGGTTCTTTGGAGGCCAGGCGAATCCTAGGCCTATTAAAATCAGATGTTGCTCCTTCCAAGAGGTTTTAATCAATGGCTGTTAGAGGGGCTGTCTGCATGCTGCCTGTATCCCACATTGAAAATCCTCCCAGGAAGTGCCCCTGTACCACAGACAGATCTCCATCTTCTGTAGACCTGAGTATAGTAGGCACTGGTTGAGCCTTAATGGTCTTGAATAGAAGCTGCAACTTGTGCAGGACTAACCCAGAGCTAACTCTAAATGCAATTAACTCCCTCACAAACAGCAAAAAGAAAAAAAAAGAATGGGCTGAACTTCACAAAAAAATGAGAGGTTCGTTTCTTGAGGAGCGCAGGGTGAGAGCTGATCAACAAGTGGGCCCTGGCAAGAGTTGCGAAACATGTTGCTGGAAATGTAGCAAGAGAGCAAGCCAAGATCAGCAGCCTGACAAAGGATGAATGGCTACATTTGTCAATGCCTGGGGACCATGAATGCTGAGCATTTGACTTTCCTCACATTGAAGCTCTGAGTATTTGCATGTAGACCCCATTCATAAAAAATTGTTCATGTCCCAAAGCGATGGTTAACCTGGGCCTTTCTTTAAAAACATATAGCCTTCAACAAGCCAGAATTTGTATTCAGTAAGCAAACCAGGAGTCAGGGGAGAGATCAAAGAGAATTTACAAAAGCTTAGGGAGCAGTCGTGGCTTGAATTTCCCCTCACATTTTATTTGTGTGCAGGTTGCTTCAAAACGGTGAACCAGGTAGTGGCTGTGGCATGGAACAGCCAGTACTGAATAGAAGATTCGCTTTCTCCCATGGAGATACAGAGTCACTGGCACTGTCCTGGCATAACAGCAACACAGCTGTGATGCTCGTGCTAAGGGACCTACAGAGTGTCCTTGTGAATTAACCAGCACAGGAATCAGTACCCTGCATAATTGTGAGCTCACACACAATCCAGGCTCTCAGACGTTAACATTAATAACTCCCACCTATTTTCCCCTCCCAGTTTCTTCTCATGCTCCTCCTCCTTTGGCTGCTCCGGGGCAGTGGCAAAGTCCTCCTTGCCAGGGAGGAAGTTGAGCAAAGGAAAGTGCAGGAGTAGCACCCAGTTTTGCCATTTTCTGGTATATCATATGCGCTAGGGGCAGTGTGTGGGCTAGTTCACCAGGCTTCAGTTTGGCACCCCCCCAAATGTCAGATCATCTCTTGAAGCACTCTTTTGCTTCGGTATAGAATGAACCCAGAATTCTCCTATATTTTCATGCTTATCTGTCAGACACCACTTACCACGCTGGCTTCTCGAACTCTGCAGGGGAAGCCTGTGTCCTTGCCTGCCTCCTGCAGTTCTGTGCAGACTATTCTGCAAGACAAAAGAAGGCAGACTGTTTCTAGCATCACAAGGAACACAGAGCCGCCAGGAAAGAACTTTGGCAGTGGATTTCCACCAGCTTCCAAAGAAAAAGGAAATACTTGTTTCTATCTTTGCCTCATAGCTCCCCATCCTGTACATACCCATCTTCCCTCTACTCCACCCTGTATCTGTTTGTGTAAACAATTTGATTTCAGCTCTCTTTCTCACTAGTAATACAGTCCTATGCAAGTGCTGGTCAGACCTTGGAAATTTTACTTCTTTTTTTAATATAACACCTCAGCCTTCAGTACGTCTAGATCATTGTTGACCAAAGAAGTAACTTCTAGTTCTGTAGTGTGCACGACTGTATACAGCTCAACTATGAGTCTCTTGTGGATTTTGGCCTGTGCATCTTTTCCTCCACCAGATGAAATATGATATGATTACTGAGGATAACCAGTTAGGGACATAAAGTAGTGGGAAAGATGCTGAGTGGCTGGCAATGCTTTACCTACAGAGGTGGAGAAAAACCATGGAATCTAAATTTACTGACGTGAAACCTGATAACTCACATGATTCTGCAAGATTGCAGCCTTCATTTTGGACTTTCACTTCCAACTACAAGTCTGGACTTAACAACTGGCAAAGATATTTGGGAGACTTTTCTGTTTCTCTTCCCTCCTGAAGCTCCACCATGTTTAATCAGATGAAGGGTCTTGCAAGACTCAAAAGCTAGACATTGGTCATATAATAAAGGTTTTATCTAACTTTGCGTTTGGGTTCCACATGAAGACCACACAGTATTTGTCTTCTGTGTTTTACTCAGGACGATAGTAATTCGCCCAAATTATCACTCCAATTCTGATAACATGCGCATAAAATCTCCCTCCATTTCTCTTTACTTAGCATTGGTAGCATTTCAGAAAAGGCCTTTGAATAAAAACCTAGTTATTCTCTTCCCTTATAACATTTTCTGTCAGTGTCATATTTCCAGTAAGTCTTTCCCTTATTTGAACGTTTTAGCTGAAAAAACAGAGTTCAACCTCTAGTCTTCCATAGCCCAAGCAGTCCATGCCCAGGGGCCTGGGGTTAGATCTGGGTAACAGAGATAAAACTTTTTAAAAAATTGTCCTTTGCTCTACATTTGAGAATCCCCAACTTCTATCTCCCTTAACCAGCCTTGGCCCCTGATTACTGCCAGATCTTTCCTACAGTTTCTAAATGTGAACTGATCTGGTCACATGTGACCTTATCATTGTCATTGTCATCATCATTAGAACTGCAGAGCTGGAAGGGACCCTATGGATCATTGGATCCACTCCTGTCAAGAAAGCCCAGTGGGAAATCAAATTCCCAACTTCTGGTGAATCAGCTGACCACCTGTCTGAGTCACATGACAATGTGGTAGGTTTGTTGCTTACCAGCTTGCTTCCTAAAGGTGCAAACTGTTGGAAATGCTGCAGTTCAACCCTTCCCATCTTTCAGTGGACTTGGGTGTGTGACTTTAGCTAATGAGCCATTTGTCGACCTCAATACAAGTTTCTGCCAGTCTCATATTAGGGACAGTTGCTTTGGAATAAAAGGAGCTTGGCTCTGTATGCTCTTCATTTGTTCTCAAGGCTTTAGCAGTCACTAATGATCTGATGTGCTAACGTCATCCTGAGAAGCAAGATAGATGGTGTTGGCATGATTCGGCGCTTGCCTGAGCCGAGGTCAGACTTCTCTCCACCACTAGGCCTCCCTGCCCAGGTGGCATCTTGCTCCCTCATAATACTCAAGCCAAGAGGTCACACTCCATTTGCTGTCATGCACCAAGGTTCATAGACAATTCCCTCAAAGCAGTGGCCAAGCTTTCTCTCAGCAGGGACTAAGCCTTCCCCAAACAGGACTTGCCTCCTGTTTCTTACACCTTGCCGGCTACCCAACAGTGACATCTTGTGGGGCTGAAAGATGCACTCTGCCCTTTGTAAGTTTCTTATCCTTTTTTTAACAGGGAAGGTGGTGGTAGGCATTATGAAGAAACCCCCCTTTTTATTAATTGTTCCAGAAAAGGGTCTATGCTTTAAATAACCAGTGAGGAAACTTGGAGTTGGCCAGTCGTCATGACAGCAAGACTCAGCATTGAATTAGGGGTATGAATGTTTATCAGCATCTAGTGATGGCTGGATAGCTCAGTGAACTGGGTATCTGGCTATGGAGCCAGAGGTTGGGAGTTCAATTCCCCAGTATTACGTCCAGAAGAAGAAGAGCCAGCCTGTGTGGCCTTGGGCAAGCTGCACAGCCACAGAAGAAAGGAATGGCAAACCACTTCTGGGTACTCTCCGCCTAAAAAAACTTGAAAAGGATTGCCATATGTCAGAATTGACTTAATGGAACATGATTATTATTATCAGTGATGACTCCTGTGTAGGAAATGGACCAACCTCTGAAACATTGAAGGCAGAGCTCTCTTGCCTGGCCTCATCAGGAACGCTATTCCGTGGAGCAATCTCACACAGGCAGTTGCCTCTTATCCACTGCAGAAAAAAATCAGATCTACACAATTAATTATTCTGGCCCTGCCTTTATTACTCTGTGTGGACTTCTCCACAGCTCCTCTTCTAATGGCTGATTCACACAGGGCTTTTCCACTATATACAAGCAGTACTTAGCCACATCCTCAAATAACGTATGGCATACACAGGATAGCAAAGCCTAGGCGTGACAATAGAAAAGATAGTATTTCACCTCCCTGCCAACTGAATCTTAGACACTGGTGGCAAGCAACAGGGCTCGGCTGAGAACTAGGGAGCATAAGCAAGCCAACGCACAGTGGGAGACAGTCTTTTAGTTATCCTAGTTCCTTAAACCAGTAGGTCTTTGTAGTTAACAGTCAGCATTTTGAATTTAATCTGGAGCCAGATTGAAAGCCAGTAAGGATTACTGGATGGTACGTGTGCATTCCTAACCAAGCAGGTTAACACAGATCAGGGATTCACTACTAGTTGAGTTTTAGTAGTACACCCAGGTAGGAACAACAGCATCCAACTCCTCTTTGTTTTGACCCAGAAATATTCTGACTGTCTCTGCACCTTCAGCTCCCTGCAAGCCCATCAAATATTCCCTGTAAAAGAGTGTGCCTGGTTTGGAAGCAAAATTACTGAAGAGCTGACTCTTCTACCTCTGTATATGTTTTACCTCTCTGCAGTGTGTGGCTGTGACCTAGCTCAATCTGGCTTCTTCTTCAAAAATGGGGAATATATCTGCACCCATGACTACCAGCAGCTCTATGGCACCCGCTGTGACAGCTGCCAAGACTTCATCACTGGAGAGGTTATCTCAGCTTTGGGCCGGACGTACCACCCCAAGTGTTTTGTGTGCAGCATGTGCAGGTGAGTTAAACATCTGGTAGTAACTTTCATGACCATCAACAGCTGAGGATCATAAGCAAAATGTACAAGGTGTTTGAACCCACATTGACGACTGTACACTGGCTGGCATCTTCAGAGGACAGCACTCTGTGCTCTAGTGCAGTTTGTTTGGGAGTTGTCAACTCCCAAACAAACTGCACCAGAGTACAGAGTGCTACTCCTGTCCTCTGAAGATGCCGGCCACAGAGACTGGGGAAACGTTAGGAAGAACAACCTTCAGAACACGGCCAAAGAGCCCGAAAAACCCACAACAACCAAAAGACCAGTGTCCTCACAACAAAAAGAATAATGTACCGTATGCATTGTCTTTCCTCTAAAATAATATAAAATAACATGTCTGTACAAGATGCCAAATAGCAAATGTGTCTGCATTTAAAAGTGCATACATGAGAGGAAAATAACATGAATATTCTTAAGTAGGAACTGCTTTTATGATTTATGCTGGTACTACATTAACGGATATAAGAGCATGTCTAGCAAGAATCGGGTTACTTCTGATAGTATATTGATGTTGCATTGTATGGCAATCTAATCATTAGCTTGAGCGTGGATGGATGGTCCTACAAACGGAAGGGGGGAATATTTGTAATATCCCAGGGGAATGGGGAAACTGCTGTGAGCTATGAATGATTCTTAGTCTCAGAAATACTGTGGTAGGATAGGTCTATTATTTTGTCGTTCAGAGCCTTGGGAGAGCATTTGGGGGAACATTAAAATGAAAGATGGGGGTAGGTGAGTGACAGAAAAAAGTTAGTCTTAAATTGGCCCCACTGGCTTTATAGCCTACACAAACACACATTCACACCATAGTTACCCCCATTGCTATGGACTGCTGCTGCAGTGACTAAGTTGTATTGTGGCATTCATTCTACCGATTATGGATCCTTTTGCTTGCCACCAAGGGCTTCATTTGTCCAATGTTAGCAGGCTACAGGGAGGGTGACCCTGGTTTTCAGAGCAACCATGCCTCTACACAATCTGTTTTCTACAAAGATTACCAGGAAAGTGTGCAAGCTTCTGTGGGAGTGCTGGTAATATATGGGCTGGCCACAGTTGTTCCAGTATTGAGAAGCTGTAGCTGAGCAAGTCAAGATGAACAGGAGGAAGTTGCTTATCAGCTTGAAAAATCTGGGGGTATCTGTGAAATACATAGCATTTGGAAAAATATTGTATGAGACCTGTCAGTGACTCACCATAGGTTAAAACTAAAGTACCTGGCTTTGTGGATCAGCTTTCATGGTGGCATAAAATGATGGAATTGTGCATCTTAATACAAGACTGGGGGCTGTAATCTGCAGCTATATTTCTTTGTATATCCAGCCTCCTTTCCTTCATGCATCATTATTCACCTGAATTCAGAGGATAGTCCCAAGTACAGTAGAGCCATCATATCAACAGAATTTGAGTCACATTCAGCAAGTGATTTGATGGGTCTACTTTAGTTGAGACCAACAGTTGGATTTTGGCCATTGTTTCCACCTAGTGGAAACAGATGAACCATTTTGACTCCCAGTTGCAATGCAAATTATTCAGTACAAATGCTACCCTGTTCAGTATGTTTTTTCTTCAACATGGGGATCTGTTAAACCAAAATAGATTCATTCTTCCAAGCATGTATATTCAGAGTGCCTTTTTCAAACATATTCCTTTATGTAAATGAAGTTTATTGGTCTTTCCCATAGTTCCCAATGGTATCTCCTTTGCTGCAAGTTGCATCTTCCCCCAATTAATTTCTCCAAGTATCTCCAATTAACTTCCCCAATTAGGTGTTGTTATGGACAGAAGTTACTTTGCATTCCTCAAGCATGTGCACAAGAGGGTTTTTTTTCATTAATGTAATTAAAGTGGAAAAACTGCCACTAAGTTCTTGCAGTGAAAAACCTGATCACAATTGTCACTCTGTGCACGTGCATAGGTGGCAGTGGCGGCAGGCACTATTAACTTGTGAATATTTAACCTGTGTGATTTTCAGCAGAAAAGAATGGTTGAATTATTAAAAGACCCCATATCTATATCTGGAAGAATAAATTTGCATGGTAAACCCTTTGCACAGTTTCTGATTAAATTATGAGAACTAATGTTGTCTTTCCCCTACTCCATCATCTAGGGAGCAAACATATCCTACCATGATACAGCAACATCCTGAAATTGGTTTCCCATAGGGAAAAAACTGAGCATATGAGCACATGCCTATACCATGTGCATGCATGCAGACAGATAGCTGCACTGTGTGTGTGTGTGTGTGTGTGTGTGCGCGTGCGCGTGCGTGCGTGCGCGTGCGTGCGCGCGCGCGCACGCATGCTATAATCTTTCCTGGGTTGGAAAGCAGGTTGCATTATCTATATACCTGAAGATTCAAGCTTGCCTGCTAACTGTCATGCCTGAATGAATAGAGATTCACAGTACCTCCTGCTCCCCTTGTTCTCGCATTATTTGTCGATGTTAGTGAAATGGAGCCCAAGAAAAATTTAAGCACTTTCCTTTCTAGTCGTATCTCCCAGCAATCCTTTGCTTGACACATCTGGCACCCCGAAGCACAGGTGAAGGCATGTTTTCTCATGCCTTAGTTCTTGTGTAGGGGAATCTCCAAATATATCGCTCCAGTTGATGCCTTTGGGTATATCTGTGTTCCTGCTTGTTTGCGCTCCTGTGTTTAGTTTTGTACATATACATATTTTGCTCAGGCAGGCAAACAACAGTGGTACCAGGTCTCAGACTACCAATTATTTTTCCAATCTTTAAAATTTAAAATATCATAGCTGTGAATGATGTTTCCATCAACATTTTCAAATGGACGGTAAAGGACTGCAAATTCCTTAATCATCATAATATTGTATGCTGTGCAATACATTTGGAAGATTTGCTCAATTGCAGTAAATATGAGGGCCATATTGTTTTAGTCTCCTGGAGGGAGCGATACTGGTGGATTCATCAAACCGGTCAAGTGATCCATAAAGATCCAAAGTTCTACAGTGGGTTCAATGCTGTACATTTCTGATGTTTGCCTGGTTTCTCCTTTATTTCAGGAAACCATTCCCCATAGGAGACAAAGTTACATTCAGTGGAAAGGACTGCGTTTGTCAAACCTGTTCACATTCACTGATCAGCAATAAACCCATCAAGATTCATGGACCAAGCCGTAAGTCAAGCAAATTTGACTTCTTCATGGAACATCTAGAAACAGATGTGTTTAAGAAGAGAGGTGCTTTGGAGCCCTTAATGGTGCCAAATTACATCTACCATCAGAGGAAGACCATGTATGTGGTGTTCAGAAATCTGTTAGGATTCTTGCCTTCTAGTATAGTTCCATCTCAGATAATAAAAACTACAGCCCTCAGGTGTGGGTGGAACCACACTCTGATCTTAGAGGCTCCAACATGGCCGAAGTCTGTTGAGCTCTTGCTGGATGTTTTGGGGGAGCTGATACTTGGCTCCATGATTTGGCTTTGTGTCACTGCAGTTTTTGTTTTTTCCATATTGGATGGAACCTTTTCCATGGCTTAGGCCATGGGTTCCCAACCTTGGGTAGTCCCAGTTTTCTTGGACTGCACCTCCCAGAAACCCTAGACAGATCAGCTGGCTGTGAAGACTTTCAGGAATTGCAGTCCAAGAACACCTGCTTTACTCAAATTTGGGAACCACTGGGTTAGACACGCTTGGTAGTGAGTCAATTCCTTGTTGTATCCAGAGTACAGATGGGAATTGAGAAACCATTGTGTTTAGCAGATCAAGTTTGTCTCCTTTTCTTCCCTATGCATTATGTCTAGAGAGATCAGCTGGCTGTGAAGACTTTCAGGAATTGCAGTCCAAGAACACCTGCTTTACTCAAATTTGGGAACCACTGGGTTAGACACGCTTGGTAGTGAGTCAATTCCTTGTTGTATCCAGAGTACAGATGGGAATTGAGAAACCATTGTGTTTAGCAGATCAAGTTTGTCTCCTTTTCTTCCCTATGCATTATGCAAAGCTGTAAATAAATAGAGCTGCTATATGTTATTGCAAGCATGGTGCTTCGTTTTGCTAAATTTTGGATGCACACAGATTCACACACTGGATACACAAAGGGGGGTAGAGGGGGGAGTCACAGTGCCACTTTTTACAGTTCTTTGGGTGACTTGTTGCTGTTCAGGACATCACTGCAGTTGGAGGGATCCTCACTGGCTCTTGTGAATAGGAGAGGAGATAAATCTATGTTCCATGAAGCAATGGAGTACATGGACTTTGCTGTTCTTTCCTGTATCAGCTCATCTCTGATCTGAAGGAGAAAGGGGCTGATGAGAGGTCCAGAATCCATGTAGCCTTCTTCATCACAGCAGGCACTACAATCAGGCCATAGGGCCTGGAGGCCCTTGCTTATGCAATGGCAGGTTTTCAAAAATGGAAGGTTGTGGGACAAACTATCTTTTCTGCCTTTCTGCCTTGAAGAAGCAGCCAGGTCATTTGTACTGAAGTTGGTGGCAGAAGGAGCTTGGCGAAGCCATTCTCCTCGGGACACCTGAGGCCATCACTACCCATCTGTTCTGAAAGGCTTTTTGCAGTGAACTGAACTTAGAAACAGTGGCTAGCCTTTAAAAAACCTTGTGAGGAGCAGTTGACACACTGGGATGTGAACCAGCTGGATGCAGTTGAAATGCAGGCTGTGTGATCTCTAAGCGGAGGCAACAGATGTTGTTGTTCCCTGTTGTTTACTTAAACACATGGATTGTAAAGAAAGGAAGTGTACAGCGTTCCTCACTATGATTACAAAACAGTATTTTCCTGAGACGGCCTGCTCCTGGCCGGCTGTTGGGAGCTGCCAAACAAGACCAACACTGTAGCTAGAATTCAACAGAGACTTAAAGGCTCTTATGCCTATTGATTTTAGTTGGGCTCTAGGTTGCATTCTGGTCCGCATATAACACAGTTGCCAAAGGAACAAAAAATTCCATTGGCATTCTGCAAGAAGCCAGTGTGTGTCTATGTGCATTTTCTTGTTTGATTTTGTAGGATGGTTGTATTTAATAATCTTATCTTAGGACTGCAAAGCTGTCTCTGCTCTTATTTTCATCATTCTTCAATATATAATATTCAGACAAGGTTGACAAAAAAAAAGAATCACACCCAACAAGTACTACACAGTTACAGTTTGCTTGTTTTCTTCAGAAAATACTGAGCATAAGGGATGGCTCTGACCCTTTGCTTGTGGCATAGCTAGGAGGGTCTTCTTTTGATAAGATGCCCGAAATTGAACTGTTTTGTTGTTCTTTATCAGCTGAAAATCAGGACATACTCTCTGTCTTGTTTACTGCATTTGCAGACTACAGCTGTGCTCTAGGCAGGCTGGCTGGCTGGCTGCATCCCACTGGTAACATCCAGATTTGGTAGCACATGTGTTTTTCACAGGAAAGGGTTGGGGAAGTCAGCAACGATGATGGGCAGGAGGGGGTGATGTCCCATCAGAACTTGGAAGAGCCCCTGTTTTGAGAACAAGTGCCCAAATCACCTAGCCTCCTATGCCTGAGGAAGTGGGCTTGTCAACAAAAGCTCACATTAAAATATATCAATCTTATTAATATTAATCTTTAAGGTACCACAACGTTTTTGTCTTCTTTATTTTTTATTTTTATTTTGTTTTTGTCTGATATATCAGCCAACAAAAGATTCTGTGAGTTGTAGTCTGAAAAATAAACTTCTCCAAGTTCTGTGTCCATCCTATATGGCAAGAGAACGTGTGGATACAGAGAAGGTTTAATTTTCATGGTTTCTTCCAAATACCTTTCCATGACAAAGAATCATGGAGGCCATTTTGAGTTGAACTGTGAGATGCAGTTTAGGACATGAACTTTTTGCTTTTCATAAATCTACTTGGAAAGCTGAAACACTGAGTAATTTTTCTTCCATCACAATGGTGGGGCAGAAGAATTATTATCAGAAAAGTAATAAGGAGGTAGCACAAATGTATACAATGACAGTACACCCTCTCTTCCACCATCTTCTCCATTCACACCATGCCTAACAGAAAATGATTGCATCAACAATCCAGTGCTTACCAGTTGTTCCTGCCAAGTGCCTCATTAAAGTATATGTCACAGAACATGACGAGAGTCTTGCATGGCATTCCATCCACACTTTTTTGGTTGAAATTTATTCTTTGCTTTGCTTTGTGTTTGTTAGAAGCTCAAATTTCAGGTTCATGCACCTCAAGCGTACTATGCCTATGAGGCGAGATGACACGTCCTCTTCAGTAGGCTTGTGCTCAAAGTTTTAGGTGGCGGAAACAGACAGATTTGGACCCATGGGGTGTAGTCCCCAGGGAAAACCCACATTTTTACAAAATAAGTGGGAGGTATGCATTAGCAATGTAGTGTATGCCAGTGATGAAATTTGTCCCATGATAATTTGGCCAGGGTGATAGTGGGGCATGCCATTTGAATTTTTGTCTCCAGGCATAAAAATGCCTTAGACTGGCCTTGCTTCTGTTCTTGTGATACTTGTTACATCAAGGTGTTGTGTAAATCTACACATAATGCAACTGTAAAACATATAGCATAGAGGGAAATCCCATTCAGGAGTTTTGCGTAAGTCACTGTGGTGAGATTTATTGTTACCAATCTGGGAGAGAGGCTGGATGGACAACACTCAGCTCTCAAACAGAACAGACCTCTCAGAGTTAGACTTCCTACTGGAAGCTCACAAACAAAATGCAATGGATGGAGCTGGGAGCATAGCAGCCGCTGAATCAGCACAAATGCGCTCATCCCTTCCCTCTCTTTTTGATTTTCAGGAAGGGGGAAAAACAATTGCAAACCACTATTTTGTTTTTGCAAGCGTGCACACACATGCACACGCACGCATGCACACGTTTCCTCCCCATGCTGTGTGCCACTGTCAGGTCACCTGAAAACCATCTCCTCTCCTGAAATTCACTCCTAAATATATTCCTCTGCTTGGCTGCCTGGCTCAGGTTACTTCAGGGCAACATGGATTATTCATAACCAGCTGCAAGCCACATTCAGGACTGGCACGGGCAGAGGACAGCATCTCTTTGCTGTTGCTTCTGCACCTTGATGAGCAACCATGTTTAACATACCTTCCTTACCTGTTTTTCTAGAAGGGCATCAACCGGAATCTGGTAGTTATTTCAAAAAAGGGTGCCAGACAAATATATTCTTGGTGTGCAAAGATTCTAGGTTGAAACCGAATCAGTCTCTCCTTCCTTCCCTCCCTCCCTCTCTCCCTCCCTCCCTCTCTTTATTTCTTTCTTTGTGGTCTAAGGCTAATTGACAGTACCTGTTACAGTAGATCTATTGAATAAAAGACACAATTGATTCAATGGGCTCATTCTAGCTGGGATAAAAAAAAAATGGATCTAGGCCCAAATTCCTATCTCTGTCTTTATGAAAATCGGGAGATTTGCTAAGCTGCCTTGATAGCAAGGCGTACTGAAAGGATAATTAATTGACCTAAGATAGTTTTAACAGATGAATGCCATTCTTTCTGTGTATTTGTTAGCCATCGCCCCACACCAGGACTTCTAAAATGTCATCAAATATAATCTAGTAGTAGTTTCAAAAAGGAAAGCCTGAAGAGTGTCTTGTTAGTATATAAAGACTACTTGATGAGAATGTTCTGATCTCTCTCTGTCTCTGCCTGGCCAGAATCCTGTTGGCAGTTTATGCTTGTGTAAGGGAGATCACATAAGTCATGGCAGCAAACTGCCACCTGCTCATAAAGTGCTGATTGCATTCATGTGTCTGATGAGGCACATGCCCAGGAACACATGGTTCATAACCAGTGATTTGCCTCTAAAAGTTACATAATTTCTCTTACAGAAGCATGTTACCAATAGGATTCTGCTCTCTCTCTCTCTCTCTCTGTATGTGTGTGTGTGTGTGTGTATGGGTGAATTAAAACTTTTTTTAGCTAATCACGTGACATAAAAGCCATTGTGAATCAGCTTTGACCCCTTTTTTACTTCAGATGAAAAAAAAATTCCCTGCCCCTTGGGGGTTTCTACTTCTTTCAAGCAAGAGCGATTCACATGGTGTTTTCCCCTGTGATTGGTTGTTTTATTCTACAAAAAGATGTCTGTATGTGACTGTTAGTAGCATGCTGGTGATGTACTAAGCGGGCATGATATTTGGGACAGGGGAAAACACCCATGTCCACAGTCTTCTTCCCTAGTTGTTTCAAGGTTGTTGTTATTTTAAAAAAAACAAAATAAAACAAACTACTGAGTTTAATGCTTGATCACCTTTTCACTGCATTGATACATTACTTTAGCACTAAATCACCTCTGCACAGAAAAAAAAGAGAGATAAGACTGGATGTGAAATAGAAACATCTCCGACAACTTTGGAAAACTTTGGAAAATTAACCCTTTTCCCAAGCACTGTGCAACACTGGATATAGGCCCAAATTCCTATCTCTGTCCTTATGAAAATTGGGAGATTTGCTAAGCTACCTTAATAGCAAAGCATACTGAAAGGATAATTAATTGACCTAAGATAGTTTTAACAGATGAATGCCATTCTTTTTGTGTGTGCAACACTTTAAACTGTCCACCAGTTTTACAACGAACCATAAAAAGGGAGCCAGTAATTGGCCCAGAGCCAGATCAAAAGAAGGGAGGGCAGTAGCTGTGGAATTGATCAAACTGAATCAGATTGTGGGTCCAGTGTGGGCACTGGTACCAAAACCCATGGCTTCCATGTGATCACCTAATCCGTATAGAAGCATAACATAGGCTAGGAATCAAGCTGCAATGTAGTTGCAGCTTAAGCTGCTATAGGAAGAATGAGCAGAGTTAGTTTAGTATCAACAGATGAGTGACAGGGTGGGATGGGGGAAGAAGTCAAATAGAATTAGCTTGCAGATTTGTTTTCAGACTACCGCTCCAAATCTTTCAGGCTAAAATGTCATGTCAGTTAGTGTTGCCTGATTATTTATTTTTACCAAAAGCTTCAAAAACGTTGGGGGCTTTTCCCATTGTGTTTACTTGTATTGCAAACTGTGAAAGACTAGAATGAGTTTCCAAAGTCATCAGAGGCCCTCTTGTGCCATCCTTCTGCCAGAGGGACTTCTAAAAATATGAGGGATTCCCAGTGCTGAAGGAGATTGCTGGTCTAAACAGTGTCAAGGTCACAGCTCCCAGGCCCATGTGCTTCCTGCCACTGGTCTCAACAAGCGGCAAAGGAAATGGGAAAGGAAGGGAGGCCTTCAAATACCTTCATATGGCCTTAGATAGACAGAAGTTAGGGAGCAGCTTTTGCTTCATCCGCTTGTATCTGAAAACATCCTTCTGTCTGGCATCCCTCAGTGAAAGACATCTTTAAAGGCATATTCAGATTATGTTGTGCTTGAACAAAAAAGTTCACTTTGGCACAGACATAAGTGGCCCTTGGCAGCCTCCGACTCTGATGGCTGCAGAAGCTTCAGATACTTGTCACACTGGTTTGGTTTGGTTTAGTCTGCCTCCGTGCCCAGGTCTCCTAGTAGGTTTCTATAAATAAACGTACTACTGTAATATTATATAAACATTGGTTTGAGTCACTGGATCAAGACTACATTGAGAATTAAGCATCTTAAATACACTAGAAAAGAAAATATGTAGTTAAATGTCAGCTGAATTGTTGCATATTCTTTGTGGAGACATATTGCCAGACAACTTGCCGATGTTAAAATGTGAAAAATGAAATTGGGCTGAAAAACAAAGTGACATAAACAAGGGACTTTCTGTCTGTCTTAGGTGTTCAGCTGAAGGTACGGCCAGGTGAAATTTTCATCATGTTTTGAATGGTTACAGAGAATATACCTTGTTTTTGTTTCTTATATCATTACATTACTTCCCCCATACCATTTGAAACTATTTTATCCTATTATTTTGTCACCTCTTTCCTTGCTATCCTCCTCCTCAGCTTTCCTCAAATACGGTCTGATAATGAGTCTATGCAATCTGTTGGATCTGCAATCCAGATGGCAACTTGTAATGTGGACACTCCAATAAGGAGCTAGACTGCTTTCCTAGGCTTCGCACTGCACAGGCATCACTAGTGCTGCTGTTGTTGCTAGCAGCTACTTTGTTGCAGGAAAGCTACATACATCAGAGGCTGTGAATCAGCAACACCAATGACACCCCTAGGGTAAAGATGCCAAGGAGAAGCATTCAAAAAGAAGAGCTCTAGATATTGCTGGACTACAACACCTGTTGGTCCTACATATGTCATGAGAGATAAAGGGATTTCACAACAGCACCTGGAAAGGCTCGTGTTTTCGCAATGCTTGTTCTAATCTAAAGAGTTCCCTAGAGCAACCATGTTATGGATGCCACCAGGTTGAATGCTCGTGTATCTGCCTGGCATGGCTGTGCAGAAGATCTTTTAGGCTCATGCCCTTGGGATTCACCAGATCCATTCACTTGGATGGTAGAATTCCTTTCCTACTAGTCAGGCAGCTATTTGTAATACAATCAAGACCCTGATCATGACATGTGACATCTAGAACTCCTGAACCCTTCACTGTTGGTGGCCCCAGAAAGCAAGGCATTTGGGGGCATAGCTCTTCACTGCCAGTTTCTAAAACCATCCTGGATACTGCTGCTGGTGTGTAGTTAATTCTCTTGTGTCTGTCTTATTTCCTAGAGTGTGCAGGTTGCAAGGAGGAGATCAAGCAAGGTCAGTCGCTCCTGGCCCTCGAGAAACAGTGGCATGTCAGCTGCTTCAAGTGCCAAACCTGCGGAATCATCCTAACTGGAGAATACATTAGCAAGTGCGTGTCTCTCTCTCTCTCTCTCCTGTCCCTACACCCTTCATGGATCTGCTCCATGAGGCAAGAATTGTGCCAAACCTAAGGATCTGAAGACCAGTAGATGGCTCCACCCAGTGTGCTAAGGATCTGAACTAAGCCCTTGAAGACCAGTAGATGGCTCCACCCAGTGTATTTGGTGTGTTTGTACACATTGCCAGCAGGCAGGGGCAAGCAACAGCACGAGTTGCTTTTTTCTCACTCCCCTTAAAAAGAGAACAGTTGTGCATCCCTTCCTCTGGTGAGACTGGGAGGCTCTGCATTCATCTAAAATCTGTTTTATGACAGGACAGTAATCATCTCTTCCCACTCATTGCTGAGGATGCAAGTATCATCTGTAATTTTTCCCACCTGTCCCTCCACTGTGTAGAGATGCATCAGAGTTAAATAAAGAGACGGATATATCTGCGTCTTTGGACTACAGCTCTCAGAATTCCACAGGCAGCATGGCTATTTGAGGCTATTCCATGAGATTGTTTCCCCTTAAATGTCGCAGAGAAATTATCTCTATTACAGATAAGTCTGCTGAAGATAATTGTTTGTAGAAGTGCCATAGGAATGCAAGTCACCAGATGACTTTTTTCTAAAATCTATTTTGAAAACCACATGGCAGTTATAGCACACAATTATTCAATCACTCTGATTAATTGTTTGTGACTTTTAGCCCTGGAGCAATCCAGGGATGTTTAGGAAAAGAATCCTCTGGGCCATTTCACAAAGAGATGAACATGTGTGTGTTAATGAGAGATTTATAGTTCGATTCCTAGCATGCAGGCATCAAGGAACAAGCAAAAACTAGTGGCCTAGCAATTCAACTATTTACTGATTTTCCATCCCTAGAAAGAAACAATTTGGGGAAGTTATTTTCTTTTTGGACTATAACTTCTAGAATCCTTCAGCCTGCACACTCATTGGGAATGGAATATAAAAATAACTTTTTTCAAAATCTAGGAACAAACATAAATGACTCTTTGGAAAAATGAATTTGGGAAGTGGCTTTTCCAGACTCGCTATTAATTAAAAAATCATACTGGAAATTTAATGCATGCTTGCTTCTTTTCAGGCCCTCTGTCATCCCTAACCCCTCCTGCCTCTTCCTCTGGCTACATCAAATCTCACTCAAGATTACATCAGAGTCCTTCTCTCCATAGTACTAATCAAGGTCACAGTTCTGTCCTCCCCCTGACTAGCCTAATTCTTCTTCCTTATGTCGTTGTTTACTCTATTTTTGCCTTTCAAGTTCACTTTAACCCAAATGAAGGCTGGTGACTAGAAAAGGGTTTCTCAAAGAGCTTATTCATTGTTTCATCTTTGATGCATGCCTTGTTTCTTGAAAAACAGCCACTACCTTCAGGCAGCCGTAGTCTGATCCAAACGGGTGTAGGTAGACTATGAACAGATGCAGACGTTACTCCACAGCATCCAATATTCCAACTGAAAAAATCAGTTCTTTTCCCCTAAAGTAGGACTTCTTTCCCACCAGTATTGACTGGCATTTTGGAATAATAGGCCTAGTTATAGGAAGCAGCATAAGAACAGGGAATAAAATAGACAAATACGCCTGTTGACTGGAGGCATCTCTCTTCCCATAGAACAGGAGTGGGCAATCTCAGTTGGATCAAAGGCCTTTTTTAAAAGTTACTGGCAACCCCAGGGCCACACTTCCATGGGAGTGGAATAATAGGAGGAGGTCATGGCCAAACAGGCTAATACGTAGGTTGGTTGACTAACTGATTGATTAGTACAGTAGTTATGTACTGTAAAAGTTGCAATGGTGCATTTTTCTCAATTTTTTTAAAAAATGGATTTAACTAAAAAAGAGAAACTTTTGTAAACAAAAAAAGCCCCCTTGTACCTTCTAGTAGCCAAAAATAATTTTTAAATGGGGACTGCATGGGGGCTTTAGGGGTGCCGGCGACCCCTCCAAATGTGGCAATGATATTAGAGAGCAAGTGGGACTTTTTGAGCAATTCAAAAAAGAAATTTAAAAGTTTGAGGGGTGTGGAGGGCCCCAGGTGCAAGATGCCCACCCACCTACCCATCCCAGCGCACTGAAACTGCCTCAGCCTCATTTGTTTTTGATCTCACAGGGACGGCATCCCCTACTGTGAATCTGACTATCACTCCCAGTTTGGCATTAAATGTGAGACCTGCAACCGATATATCAGCGGCCGCGTTCTGGAGGTGAGTGCCAGGCAGACAGTTTCCTTTGTGTAATATACAGTTCAAATGATGTCATGATGCCAAGGACGTATCTAGCCAGTACTTTGTGTTCAGAGGAGAGATATCCCCCGACATTTCCCGTGACATCCAGAAACATCCAAAGATAGGCAGGTGCCCAGAGCATTCTTGCCTCTCTGTAACTGACTAAGGATTTCATAGCGCTGCTAGAACTTGTGCCATGTCTCATTACAAAGAATAGTTGGATAGGCCTTGCATGGTTGTCTACCACTCAAAACACATGTCACCTCATCTGACTTGGGAAACTAAACAGATTAGCCCTACTTAATAGATGGATGAGAGACCGCAAGAGAATAACAGGAATCTCTACGTAAGATTAGGAAAGCATCTGAAATCCCAGAGAGCCACTGCAGCTCTCAGTTTTTAGTGCTGGTTTAGATCACTGGTTCTTAACCTTGGGTTACTCAGGAGTTTTGGACTGCAACTCCCAGAAGCCTTCACCACCAACTGTGCTGGCTGGGGTTCCTGGGAGTTGCAGTTCAAAAACATCCGAGTAACAAAGGTTAAGAACCACTGGTCTAGATGGTCAGTGAAAGGCATTTTCTTATGTTCCTAGGATCTGTGAGAGACACTGGATTGCTCTTCTGTACTGCCAAGATAAAAATAGCGGCTTGCTACATTAATATTATTGTAAAAGACTAGTTCCTGAAAAAGAGTGCCATGTAGTTTGGCGTCTGACTGACAAGCGAAGAATAAGCAGCTGTACATCAGAGATCTATAGGCAAGCCTGGAAGGATGTCAAATGTAGCGGGCTATATATAGGCAAAGCAGGAAGTGCTAAAAATGGGTATGGCTGTGTCCGCCTTATAGAGGGTGAAATGTGGATTCTAATTTATTTTCTGGTGGCTGAAGCGGAATCCTGCATAGGCAAGCACTGTCGCTGAAAGTATGTTTCCAGGTCTCCTGGTGACAGAGGAAAAAGACCTGTGAATATGTGAAGAACTGAGTATCCACCAAATATGGGTGTACATTTGGTAATCTGATATACTTTCAACACAGTCCACAAAGGTTCTACTCTCTTTACTAATGTGTAGTCTCTCTGTACTCCTATTGTTCTGCCAATAACTCCAAGCCCTCTTTTCTCAGCCTGAAACAAAGACTAGCACCACAACAGTTCCCAGTTTAACAAGTCAAAATGAAGTATGCAAATAAAGCCATTTAAGCAAATGTCTCTGATCTGCACAGCATGCATTGGATTGTAAGCACAGCTTTCTAATCAACTTCCAATAGGCACACATATGAGAACGTAAGTACTGCAGAGAGGGCTCTGGTCCATTTTAATTCAGTATTCTCCTCTCTTTTTTTGGTCAACCAGATCCCTTTGGGAAACCAAAACAGAGAATATGAAGGCTGTAACCATCATCCCCTGTTATCTCCAAGCAATTTCATGCTGCCTTTGATCTTGGAGCTTTAATATAGCCATCGTCATAGTCATGAGTGGCCCTGTCTTGAGTGAATTTGTCCAATCACCTTTGAAAGCTGTATAAAAGAGGAGGCCTTCCCATCATCTTGTGGAAACCAATTTTGCAGTTTAACTCTGTGCAATGTAAAGAAAACTCTCCGCTGGTCTTCCTTGGATTTTCCCCATTGGGTGTCCTGGTAGAGGTGGTATGCCAGATGACCTGAACTATATATCCCACTACAGGTCCTTTATCATTGGCTTTGCAGCCCTGAGTCATCCAGCGCGAGAGGCGAAATACAATTTGCCTGTGCCTATTTATGCCCATGGCATGCACAATTTTGTAAGCCTCAGTCATGTCCCTTCCTACCATATTGTTCTAAATATTGTAATCTTTCCTCGCGGGTGAATTGTTCCGGCCTTGTAGCCCATTCAGTTGCCCTTTTCTGCCCTCTTTTTATTTTTACAATGTCATTTTTGAGTTGCTCCAATCCAATAGGTAGCCATCCTCAACATGTAGCCACACTACCATCGATTTGTCTAAAGACTTTCCTCTTGGAATGAAGTAGACATAACTGGGCGCTTGGTACAGAAGGTACCTTTCCTTTGAGGTTGCAAGTGGAGTCTCGTTTCCTGAGGACTCATGCCCTGTTCTTTGGAGCCATTTCCTGCTGCACAGGGGGGAAAAAAATCTACTTTTCTGCCATGCCTCTCCTTTCCTAGTCCTAAGGCATTTCAGCAGCACAGCTGAACTGTGTGTCTGGTTGCTCTAACCCTGAATGAACAACTTTACCAGCCTGCCAGGTGATAATTGCCATTGTTTCCCTTTTATTCCTCTGCCTGAGAGACTGCTCTGTAGCCAGGTTTCACCCTGCCTCTCTCCTGCTCTGTTGCTGTAGCAACAAACCCAGCATAGCTGCCAGCCACGCAACCGTATGCTAGCAAATGAGAGAGCCTGGGCAGGAGGAGGCTGCCTCTGCAAAGAGACACGAGAGAGCCCAAGGGAAGCATTCTGGGAGCCCGCCCATGGCACTTCTTGAATAACAGAGTTACACTAGAGATACTCTGGGCTGTTGGACTTCAGTGAATGAAAGAGCAGGCACTTTACATTCCTGGCAGTGGCAAGTCAAGTGGGTTAGGGGGGTGTCGGTTTTTCCTTCACCAGAAAATAGGAATCAGTGAAGGTTCCTTGCTTTGTCATCCCGTCACATCTTCAGTCTTTTAGAAAAGAAAAACCTCAAGGGGGAATTAATTTCCCCACTGCTGATGTATGCAGCCACCACATGGCTTCATTGACACTATGGTTCCGATTCAGCTCTAGAAGCTGTCTTTCTCAGAACGGCAGGTTATGGTAGAGAAAAGTGTCTGAATTTGTGCAGAATGTGTTCTGCTGTAACTGCTAAGTAGTTATGCCCCACCTCACTCTGTTTAGGATTAAGGATCAGACCCCATGGCGGGAATATCAAACAGGCTTGACATTCGTCTTTCTTGCAAGAAATTAAGCACTGGCTGGGAAGGAAAGAAGTGTTCTAATCCTACCCAGGATGAGCCTTTTTTGTGGATTCAATAGAGATCCATGACACAGTTATTGTTGCATTATGAGATGCTTGTCAGTTTCATATGGAGCCTCCCGTGCACTGTGCTAGACCAGCGTTGGCCATCTGTTGTCTGTCTTTCAGAAAGACCTGTCCCTAGAGTAAAATTGGCACGAACCTGCCATGCATTCAACTGCCTGACTCTTCAAAAACCACAGAGAAAGGATCTTAAGACTCATAGCATGCAAAGCAGTCTCCAAAGAATGGGAGGCTGGTCTTCCCGTTAGCTTGTTCACTGTAACTCGGTCATCTCTCCGTTTTCCATATGGCTGCTCAAGAAAGTTGAGCCAAGTCATGTGGACTGGTACTGGGCACTTTTGATACCATGTAGTTGTCTAACTGAGCTGCATTAAGGATGCATTTGCAAACTCTCAGTGGTGCAGAGGATCTGACTGGGATCTTTGGAATGAGGAGGAAGATGATCAGAGGACTTCTGGAAGAGTAGCATAGCTCACTGGACTTGGATTTTCACTTCAGAACTAAGATCCTCACCAATGGGCATTGGTTATGAGCTGATGCACTAGTCACGAGAAAGGCAACATTTTGTACCTCTAAGACAGAAGTGGGAGGGGATCTGTGCATATGAAATTCCACAGCAAACAAGCTTCTCATTCTCATTTGGTAAGCCTTTCAGACGTATTTCCAGATCTGCATTTCCCCTCTGCAGGTCAGAATGGAAACATGGGGGTTGTTAGGGAGGATAGGTACTCACCTGTCTTGAACTATCTAATCAATTGTCATCATAGTGTGTAGGATTGCCAGAGCCTAGTCTAAGGAAGCACCTCATGATAAACATGATGGGATTGGGTAGAAATAGCTGGGTTCTGGGAAGAATCTGACCCTGGAGCTTGTCGCAGAGAGCCATGTCTCATAGATTGTGTAACTACTGCTGGGTGATTCAGATTGTGTAACTACTGCTGGGCATGATACAACCTCTCTTTGGATAAATTCCAAAGACAGTTCTCTCCAAGCTTATCTTGACATGTGAGATCAAACTCTCACCTTTTTTTTCTTCCTTATGCTGGGCATGGGGGGGGGGTGGCATCTCTCAAAACACTAAACCAGCTAGCTACTTTGGTGAAGGTGATCAGGACATTGGTACCTATTAGATATGCCAGACATCATATGGGCATCTTACTGGCCTCAAAGCAAATAGTTTCTGATCATCTTTCTTGATAAAGCATGGCACGAGAGTGCCTTGAACCATCAGCCATGATCAGCCTTCATATGCTTAAGCCTCTGGCTGTCCCAGATGACTTTTAAGATGTGCAGCCAACCAAGGAAGATTAATGAGTCTTAAAGAAAGGAGACCATTCCCCCTCCCACTTTGAATTATAATAAGCAGTCTCTCTCAATACCAGGCAGCATTAGGCACTTGCAATGACTGTAATTCTAATCAGGATAAAATAAACAAGCCTGCTGTGGTTTGGTCTGTCATGCAATTGTATCTCTTGTAGAAGAAGCCTCTGCCGGGTGGGAGCAGGGTTTAGGATCCAGCCAGACCAAAGACAAAAAAGTCCATCTAACAACTGGCTTAGCCAAGTATCTGACAAAGCAAGCGGCAAGCGAAAGGGGTTGCTGGCCAAATCACTGAAAAAGAAGGCAAACTGAATTCTGTTATTAGAATACCTATTATGTATAGGTACATTTGGTACTTACTTTACATGATGATGATTGGTTGGTTGGTTTTATTAACAATCATCATCCTAGAACTGAAGAGCTGGAAAGGACCCTGTGGATCATTGAGTCCAGCCAAGCAAGCGGCAAGCGAAAGGGGTTGCTGGCCAAGTCACTGAAAAAGAAGGCAAACTGAATTCTGTTATTAGAATACCTATTATGTGTAGGTACATTTGGTACTTACTTTGATTGGTTGGTTGGTTTTATTAACAATCATCATCCTAGAACTGGAGAGCTGGAAAGGACCCTGTGGATCATTGAGTCCAGCCACT